TGAAAATAAATTCCGAAGGTATTAAAAATTCTAAACTCAGAAGCTTGGTAATTTTCTGAAATCAGCTCTTAGACAGTGAATAAACCAATAGGTTAAGTTTGCGCTTTCCGCTCTTTGGGAAAACTTATTAAGTATATCAACAAATAAATTTTTTAAATATTAAAAAAATGTTATCATTGAGACAATAACTATCTATATAAATTCATTTCGGCTAAAATTTACTATTTACTTCTGTTTTTTTTAACTATTTCACAAAAACTGACCATTCCGTTTAAAGTAACCGCGTACACACGTCGGGACACAAAAATAATAATAACCATAAAATTTGATAAAAAACACTGACAAAAAATTATTAAGACTCGGGACTATATAACACGCAGCACATCGACCCTGCACAACTTTCAGAAAGCTGAATAAGCAGAAGGCTGCATTGCACTACAGCCAGGGTGATGAAAAACCCAGTTTTCTTCTGACTCATAACATCATGCTCACTTACAGCCACCTGTTGTCCTCCAAGAAACCACTCCCTATTCTAACAAAGAATCTTGATAACAAAAGTAGGGCATATAATGGGCGTGAGACTTCTAAGGATATATTTGAGGAATGCGAATTAATACATGGTTGGCTGCCTCGAACAGAGCCTCCCATTCATTTTAACAATTCTGTGCTATTGTAGAATTATTTTTGTACCCTGGTAATGAACGGCGTGCGGATCAATCGACATGTTGATCTACAAAAAATGCATTTACTTCCGCGTGTTGCTGACCACAGAACAGAAAAATACGGTAATCTTCAACAAAATCTCTTTTATACCGAATTTTTGTTGCATATTACATAGCGATCACCGTTAAAAAAACGAATAGCGAAAATAGAAGCTGTCACGAAACAACAAGTTTAGTTCAGCTTGTCGAGCTGGAGCAATCAATGCTGCATCACAATTTTCACAACACTCAAATTACTCGCTATAACTTAGCAGAGTGTAAAACTACAAGAAAAAAACTATACCTAAAGAATCGCCGAAAATTCTACCGAAACTGTGTAATGTAGGGCGCAACATCGTGTTAAAAAATTCAGTTGTCAGCTGTAAACCGTAACTCAGCGATAAAATTTGCAGGTATGCATTAACATAGAGAGCTGAATACTGAAATGCACAACAGTAAATTACAGCTCTTTTAGCCCAGGCAGCTTGACAGGCTTGCTTACCATTTCTGCCTTGGCTGGCATTTATTACACTTTAACAAAACTCGAATGCAAGCATTGATAAATCAGAGTCAATGGATGACAAGCTGAGTCCTTTGTTCTGAGCTATAATAACACATGCACAAGTGTTGTGAAATTCGCATGCTTCATTTTCAAATCCGGACAATGATCGA